CGCATGTTAGGCGTAGTCTTATCTCTAATTAGGGATCGACATAAAGTCCCCCATGCACGTGAGACATTAATTTTGGTGTTGGAAAATGGTGTCTTCTGTTGGGGTAAAGACGAACCCGGTGTCGGAGAGGAAGAATTTTATATTCTATCTCCTGCTTGTCTTTTCTTAGAGCAAAGACGAACCCTATGTTGGGGAGGAAGAATTTTATATTCTATCTCCTACTGAAAAGAAACTCAAAGTGGGATCTCCACTTCGAGAATCCTAGAATATGAAACTAAGAGTGGGATCTCTACTCCGAGAATCGAAAAGATTCGATAACCCTAACTTTTATAGGATTAGTTACCCAATCTAAAGATAAATTTCTTATTTATCGAGATGAAATTCTGACTTTGGCCCTAACTGTAAAAAGGCTTGACTGGAGAGAAATGGATGGAAGCCTTTCGTTTATCGAAAGGGAATTCCGATTTTGGTCCTAACTGTGGGAAAGTTTGACCAAGGTGGGATTTGAGACGACCCTAACTATTCAAAGGTTTGATCGCTTAATGTGGGTGGAAGCTTCTCATTTATTCAAAGGTAGCATTTCTAGGTGTAGTGTGTGTGTGTGTGTGTGTGTGTGTGTGTGTGTGTGTGTGTGTGTGTGTGTGTGTGTGTGTGTGTGTGTGTGTGTGTGTGTGTGTGTGTGTGTGTGTGTGTGTGTGTGTGTGTGTGTGTGTATATATATGTGTGTGTGTGTGTGTGTGTGTGTGTGTGTGTGTGTGTGTGTGTTTGTGATTATTTTATTATATTTTTATCATTTGATGTTGATATCTGCTGAACTCATTTGTGCAAAAACCGATTCATATCCATTTTGTCAAATATCCGTTTCATAACTGTGATCGTATTCGATTCAATTCTCTAATATCCGAACCGTATCCGTTTCCGATGAATGCGGATATGGTTAAGGTTTTTTCTTACCGAAGATAATCTGTATCTGTATTCGTATCCATTTATAAAAAATCGAATATGGATATGGTAAGTGCCATATCCGAACCGTATCCGCTCCGTTAACACCCCTACCTACAACTCAACAACTTAAAAAAATAAGATTAAGAAAGTATACATAGATAACATATTATAATACATGAAGTATTATAAAAAAGCCAAAAGCTTAAAAATTACAAAAAAAAGCTTAAAAGTTTAAATTACATAAAACACCCTGCCATTTCAAAACTTAAAACAATAAATATGAAATTTAAAAATCAACAACAACCCCCAAGGAATTTAAATTTATAATTAACACCCTCAACATTTAAAAATTATAAAAACAACTTCAAAAGTTTAAATTATAAAAAAGCACCCTAAAATTCAGAGGTTTTAAAACTTGCAAAAAACATAGATGCATTCTAGAGATTACCATTAGGCACTTGAAAATCTAAAATTTACAAAAAATAACATCAAAGTTATCAAAAATACGAAAACTCCCTTAAAATTAAAAATCGCAAAAAAATCCAAAATTTTTAAAACTTATAATAGGTATGCATCAAATCTAAAAATAATTAGCAGATCGCTAAATTTTTCAAAAAAAAACCCAAAGTTTTGGTAATTGTAAAAAACACCCTCAAAATTTCAGAGTACAAATAACATCCTAACATTTAAAACTTACCACCAACACATGAAACATGAAAAATATAAGCACCTAACTTAAAATTTAAATTTTTTTAAAAATACTATCAAAGTTTAAAAAATATCAAAACACACTCTCAAAAGTTGAAAATCATAAAAAGGCTGAAATTTGGCAAAGAAAAGAATAAATGTTTGATATTCTTTTATTAAGATATATAAATTTAACTTTCAATTTAAATTTTATCATCCATTTTCAGCATCTAACAATATTCTAGGTTGATGCTGGTAAAAAAATAGTAATTATAATAGATTAAAACTATCCAGTTAAGGAATAAAAAATTTTAAAAAATATATAATAGACTAAAAAGTAACGTTACTGTATAAATTTAAGGAATTGCATATAATTTTACTAATAACATTAATTGATAGAACACTTAATTACATAACACTGATAAAAGACTATAATATAATAGATTAGTATTAATTAATTATGATGTATAAACATTCATATTTAATGTTAATAATGTTTATAGGTTTTAAAAAATACAATGAGTTATGTATGGAGAAACTTCCAGAAAGTTTAGATATATCATTTAAAAGAATCAACCTATTTTTATGTTAAATGGAGAAGTGAAGGAAATATTAGAAACATGCATGAAGCACTTAAATTGACATTGACAAAAAGCATATCTAGCAAAGAAGCAACGAGTGAGTTCTCCTTGAAAAACATATTGGACAACTTTATCCCAATAAAAAAAGTATTCTCCATGAGAGATACAAGAAAAAGTTACTAAGTATTTATCAATTTTCGTAGTTTATTCTTGAAATACTAAAGGAATCATAAATTTAATACAAAATCACATATAAATAATCTTATAATAGAAATTAAAGTATCATGTGTATACATTTTATCAATAGTATACACATATAAATAATCTTATAATAAAATGTATACACATGATACTTAGTTACAATAGTATAAGTAAAAAAATTGAAATTGATATTTTTCTTTTTCTTATATAGTGGCATGACTGTACAAGTAACTTTATTTGGGGATAAGACTATCAACGAATGATTAATTTTTAATGACATGATCAAAAAATGAACACATAGCATTGTCAAATTTGAAGATCTTTAAATATGAAGGTAACATATTTTACTACTAAAATTCTTATTAAAGGTCACTAAATATAAAATTCACCTTATTTGTCTCAAATTTATAGGGGATATATGCATGTCATCATAATTTTTGTTAACAATATATATCGACCCAATGATATAGCTTATTGAAGAAATAAGAAAATGGTAAGTAAACCAAGCAAACATCCATATACCACAATAAAAAAAAATATTACACTTTAAAGCTAATATGAAGAGCTCATTCAGAACAAGTTGCTAAAATAAAATCATCTCCATCAAAGTTCTTTATAAATAAAATATAAATTTAAATTATTGATATATGCAATCATCACATCATTCGAAGAGGTATGATCTTACAAGGCCTACTCTAAAATTTACACAATTAAACTTCAAAATATGTTACCAATATACAGACACGCTATTAAACCTATAATGCAAAGATAGCTACCATTTATAATAGAGTTGATTTGTGGTTCTATCTTCCAAAGGCTACAACAAGAATGTGGATAGAGATGTTAATAAGAGTGTCCAAATGATTAATGTCACAAAATCACCGATGACATAGTACCAATGTTAAGTAATATCTCTTCTATGATATAGTACCAATGTTAAGTAATATCTCTTCTTTATGAAATAAACATATTAAAATCAAATATTAACATTATAAATCAGCAATCAAATCAATAAAATATGTCATCTATTACCAAAATAAAACCACCAATTAGAAGGCAATTGTTCAAGATCATCAACCGATCACTGATATATTTGTGCTATATAGCATTTTAATTTACAATAGAATGCTGAAATGAAGAAAATTAACATGTTTATTACCTCTACCGGCAGGCGAGACATTGGAGAAGGCGGCAACCGGCATTTAGGAAAGGCATCTGAGGAGGTGGCGGTAGGCAAGCGAACCGCTGGAGGAGGCAGCGGCGGGGGGAAGGCAAAGAACGGCTGGAGGAGGTGTCAACGACAGTCAAACGAATCACTGGACGGAGGAGGCAGCGGCGGTTAGGCGTCCGACCAATTGGGGGAAGATTTTGGGTTAGGGATTTAATTGGGGGGGAAATTCGGCCACAATGGGGATTTTTTTCAGTTAGTGCTCAGAAAGGAGAACAGAGAAGATGAGGAGAAGATACATATACATATTTAAGTGGGGGTACTGAAAGGGGTATTTAGGGGTTTTTACCATGTAAATGTATAAATACAAAATACTCTACCTATAATTATACAATTTGGGTTTAAAGGCAAATACAAAAAGCAGATTGGGTTTAAAGATACAAGCAGAAGATGTTGGGTTTAAAGATACAAGCAGAATCAGGATAAACTTTTGGGCCTAGAAACAAAAGTCACTTTACAAAATCATATGTGAAAGCTAATTTACTGATAATTCATGACATAGCATCATGACACTTTTTCCGTTTCTTCCTATCCTCTCTATTACATCTATTTAGTGTAATAACATTTTTATTGTTTAGAAATGTGTCATTAAACTCATAATATATCATAAAATGGAAAATGAATAAGTTATCCACTTTAATTCGTTGTACAAGTATATATTTTTGGGCCAAATGAACATGCGAAGTTGGATGACACTGAAATGGGGTGTTTTAAAAACGAATACCTTATTTATTGTAATTCATTGTACAAGTATATATTTTCATATTTTGGCTTTTGCCTTCACATTTTTCTCATCTTAAAACGTTTGATGATAATCGAAATTTTGTGAGCTAACATTCTTTCTTAATTTAACATCTAAATTTTAAATTTGGACTCGAAATCATAAAATCATAATTCTTGGAACAATGTGTTTCAATTTGTATTTTATTCTTTCATGCATCTCGCTCAAATAGTTGTTGGTCAGGCCTCGATCATCGATAAGTAGACTACAAACTCTAAACTATTTTTCTTTTAAAGAAAAACACTAAACCACTATTGTACTGAAAAAAATAAGTGTCATTATTTTTAGTTATTTTAGTAGAAAAGCAGTATATAATTTGTAGCTAGTATAACATTATCCCGTGGTCTTTCCCGTTCCTAACGTTATGATATGTTCAAAAATCTTCAAACTGAAGTACCCATAGTCATGTCATGATACATTTCTTACTGTTATTTGATTAGTCGTTCCCTCACTATTCAAAACCTCATCATAAAAAATCTGAATAGATTTTCAACCTAAAAACCAGTAATGCAGAACAGACCAATAAAATTAAAATGAGAAAGAACATATTTCCACATAAAAAGCACGGCGCAGTACATGCAGATAAAAAAGCTGATCAAATGTTTCTTTTCAACCTATTAATTCAACAGTACATTATCACAATATCATTATGGGGGGTAAAAAGAGTTTGAAATGAAGCAAAAACAAATGTACTTCGTCAATACTAAAGCGGATCAAACATTCAAAAACATTCCAGCCACAAAGAAAGGGAGTACATCAGGTTATGGTATCTCTGCTCTCGTGCTGTTTGCGCTCCGGCACTCGCAAGTGCACAGGCTTCGTGACCCCTTCACCACACGTTGAGATCGACGCAAATGCAACTTGATATTCACCAACTTACCAGCAATCTAAAAACAGAAACAATGAAAAAGGCATCAATCTTCTATGAGATGACAAAAAGTATTAAATGAAAATAAAATTCTCAGCGACACTAATATAAAAAAAGAAAAACAGGGAGAAAACGCTAGTACATGGGAAAAGAAAAGGAGATTTTACTATTATCATGCAAATTCTTAGGGCTGTCTATTTCATGTTCTTCTAGCTCACATCCAAACACAAATACTGCTCCCTCTTTTCTATCTAACCTCGGATTCCAAATTTTATATTTAATTAATCACTTATCAATAAAAAGAGGAACATGAGTAAAAATCAACTTATTTTCTCAGGTTTCTTGCGGATATGACACTCCTAGGCATGACTCCTTTCAAAAGCCTTGTGTTGCCAAAGGCGGAGCCAGGATTTTTGTTCAGGTTCGGCACAAAAGTTTCAAACATAATTAAAATAAAAAAAAGTTCATGAAAAGTACATTGTTCTTCTTTCATGTATATTAAGCAAATTTTACATTCAAACCATCATTCTAATATTTTGGAAAAAGAAAATTTATAACTGCAACTGACATCGACATGTCTTTATCGAACGCATCCTTCTCAGTCTATGCCATCAGGATAACATCCATTGTTTCCCCATTCAATTATCCAATCTAATTTTTGTAATATTTATGCAGAGAATGCTCTTCCAATAATAACTGTGGCAAGTAATTCAACAAATGCCAACTTCAAAATTTATAAACCAACAGATGAAAACCATCATATTTATTTTGAACCAATTTCTCTCAAGTTGTCAGTTCCTTTCAAATCAAATGACTCGCATGATTGTAAAATTCTAATGATGGAATAGTTTATATGTTTTTTCCTCTCAAAAGCCTATGGACATAATATTTTGTGGGATAGGGGGGTCACCCTATGATACGAGTTGCCGTACGAGCACTCTTGATCGCGGAATTATCAAGAGTGGTGTGAAGAAAACGACAGAAGAACACAAGATTATAATTTGGACGAAGGAAAATACCTTCTCTAGATTATGAGAATCAATTGGATTACAAATCTCTCTCTCACAATTTCTCTAAATCAAAGAACAACCTCTCTGATCTCTTTTCTGAATACAATCTCTGATTACAATCTGAGTAATCTACCCTAGAAAAGCCGTGTTTCTATTTATATCAAATTAAAATCCTAAACAGTGCAGGAAAACAAGCCCAGGCCCAAAACCCGCTTCGCGGTCGACCGCCGAACCATGTGCGGTCGACCGGACCGAACACCCGAGCCTTAAATTACATTACAGGGTTTTGACGGTCGACCGCCGAACCCATCGCGGTCGACCGCGAAAAGTCCAGAGGCCAAACCCTGAGTCTGTGCATGCTCGCGGTCGACCGCAGTGCCATGCGCAGTCGATCGGACTTCAATAAAATGGCTTTTCCTGTTCTTTTCTGAATTCTTCGACTTTGCCGCCTCCAACGACTTCGTCCACGACTCCTTTACACTATTCTCAAGATACCATGAGAATCACTATCCTCAAACTCCCATGAGGATCGCTAACCTCCTGAAAAGAAGATACACTCGTATCATGGGTCCCCCCCTTTAGGAACTTAAAGTCCCGTTTAAGTTAGAACTTCAGCTGAGGGAATTCGTGAACCCCTCCTCCTTTTTTGAATCACCTGGCCTTGCTAGGAATCTGGTCTCGACGTCCGATCAGAAACAGCTCATTCATCCCGCGTCTCGTCGTAGTCACCTTTCGTTCCAAGTTGCAATCCCTTTTCGATGGCTCTTCTAAAAATCTAATGCACAGCGAGACAAACTTATTGCTTGTATTCACTAGCCTCTTCGCTCGCGTCACCGTCCCCAAACTTGTCTTCCTCGGAAGAGATGCTGAACGAAATATGAACTTTTCACCGTCTTTGGTAAATGTATACTTCTGAGCCCGCCTCTCGTAGATCGCATATCTATCCCATAAGTACGAATTACCCAGTATAATCTGACAAACATCCAATGGAACTACGTCGCACGTGACCTCGTCAATATACGACTCATGAAGCGCAAATCTAACAGTACATTGATCAACTACACTTAGTTTCTCCTCCTTCTGAATCCACCCCAATGGATAGGGCTTCGGATGCTTGACCGTCTTCAGACCCAGCTTCTGAACTAAGGCCTCGGATATCAAATTCTTCTCGCTGCCTGAATCAACTATAGCATCAACCAAACTAGTCTTTACTTGCAACTTAAGAACAAAAAGCTGCTCTCTCGGGTCGTCCTCTTTCGTGGTCTGTTTCCCCGCCATAAGGTTGAGACTGTCATTAGACTCTGTCATCCCCGGGACTTCTTTCGGAACTTGAGCTACCACGTATGCCTTTTTCTCCTCATTCTTCAACCCCCTTGGCTTGAGATGAGGATACTTCTCCCAGCACCGATTAGCAATATGCTCTATCTTCTCGCAGTGACTACAAATCAGTTCTGCTTTCCCCGGATCACTCTTCTTCTCCTCCTTATGTTTGGAACCACTAGACTCGCCTCCCGTCTGTTTGAAGTCTCCCTTAGTCTCGTTACCCTTCTTTTGCCTGCCCTCAATGGCAATGGCCTACACGCTCGCCTCTGCAATAGTCTCGATCGTGAATAACCTCATCTCCTTTCAGATATAATCACTCAATCCCGCCATATACTTCATAAACACGAAATATTCCTCTGTCGCAATGTTAAGAACCATTGTCTGCTGCTGGAACTCCGTGGTGTATTCTTGAACGGTTTGATTGACTCTTTAGCGCAAGTCGTACCACTTGTACCAACGCTCCTTAAGGAATCCCACTGAGTATAACTGTTTCCTCAGTAACTCCTTGAACTTGTTCCACGACACCGCCTTCTTCTCCTGTTTGCAATAGGATTTCCACCACGTCAACGCGTGCCCTGAAAACTTCAAAGTCGCGAACACAATCTTCTCTTTTGACGAATAGCCATAAAGAGTAAAATATGTCTCCATCCGTTTGATCTAGTCACCAAGCCTCTCGATGTCAACACTCCCATCATAAATAGGAATCTTCACCTTGAAGTCAATCTTCAGGTTCTGATAAGAATTCTTACCCATTTGATGTAACGCAGTCTTAACGGTCTTCTCCTCGTCGGAATCTGAATCTAATCTCTCCACATCGGACTCAACAATTTTCTTCGAAGAATATTCAACTTGTTTGTCACCTCCATGGATAAGACTAACGAGTTGTGAAGAGTCGATCATATCGTCTCGATCTGCTTCTCTAATGCATCAAGCCTTGCTGAATTATCCCCTTCAGTCATCTTCTTCTTTCTTAATTTCTGGACTCCTTCTAATGAAATAAGGATATCGCCAAGCTTCTTGTATTGCGATCGAGTAAGGGCCATACACAGGTTCCCACTTCACAGGATCTAATGCTCTGATACCAACTTGATACGAGTTACCGTGCGAGCACTCTTGATCGCGGAATTATCAAGAGTGGTGTGAAGAAAACGACAGAAGAACACAATATTATAATTTGGACGAAGGAAAATACCTTCTCTAGATTGTGAGAATCAATTGGATTACAAATCTCTCTCTCACAATCTCTCTAGATCAAAGAACAACCTCTCTGATCTCTTTTCTGAATACAATCTCTGATTATAATCTGAGTAATCTACCCTAGAAAATTCGTGTTTCTATTTATATCAAATAGAAATCCTAAACAGTGCAGGAAAACAAGCCCAGGCCCAAAACCCGTTTCGCGATCGACCGCCGAACAATGTACGGTCGGCCGGACCGAACACACGAGCCTTAAATTGCATTACAGGGTTTTGGCGGCCGCCCGCCGAACCCGTCGCGGTCGACAACGAAAAGTCCAGAGGCCAAACCCTGAGTCTGTGCATGTTCGCGGTCGACCGCAGTTCCATGCGCGGTCGACCGGACTTCAATAAAATGGCTTTTCCTGTTCCTTTTCTGAATTCTTCGACTTCGCCGCCTCCAACGACTTCGTCCACGACTCTACATTATTCTCAAGATATCATGAGAATCACTATCCTCTCCCATGAGGATCGCTAAGCTCCTGAAGAGAAGATACACCTGTATCACCCTAAATATGGATTTCTTTAATATAATGAAGATTAAAGACTATTTAATTTGGTTTTGTTTAGGTTTCATTGAGATGAGCATATTTGGTAATTTGAAGGCTGAGATCTAATTTGAGATGAGAAGTTTGGTAATAAACAATCAAAACAAGATTTCAGGTTGGGCACGCACTAAAATTATGCGGTATCATATGTGTTTAATATAGGAAGTAATGAATATTTAAACTACCATATTAATAGTTTCCACAAATTTCAGATTGGGCACTTGCGTAACCTGAACAATATGGGGTTCCGGCCCCGCATGTTACTGATGACAAAAAGACAAATTTATATGAATTAATTTTCCTTTCCATATACACTATAGTGCTGAAAGGCGAGAGGTTAGCTTTTACAAAGACAACCCCTTCTGATTCATTTTTCACTTTACTGTTTCTAGAATTTAGACTTCTAAAAAGAGAGAACATTAACAACTACAACTCTCTAATAAGCATTTTTAACAGTAGATAATGCAAGAAGAAGCACTAACCATTCTCCAGGTTAAATCCTCTGGTCCAAGCGGTTGAGATGGACTTGAATATAAAAAGTGCCGGGAATACTGGAATAGGCAAACAAATCAATTAACATAAAACAGTTAATAGAAAATATTAGAATCCTTCCTTGTTGAGACAATTCACTGTTTTATTAAACATTTTGAATGCAAGCAGAGAGGTGAAAAAAAGTGTATCTGGTTGACAAACCTCAGCAAGATTTGCTTGCATCTCCTTGATTTGCCTGGAATCAATATTCTGGAGAAAATTTACAAGCCAGCCAGGCTGTATAGCATCACTTGAAGAAACAAAAAGAGCAATCTGCATTTACCAGGAAATAACTACATCAGCCTTAATATTTTATTCCAATATGTGTTCAAATATCAGCTATTGGTTCAACTGGGAGTCCACTTGGATACGATGCACGGATACAGATACGGGGATACGACACGGACACGGATACAGGATACGACAAAATTCAAAAAAATAGGATACGGGGATACGGCAAGGATTTAAAAAAAATATTATTATATATAGAAAAATTTATAAAATTCAACTAACAATCTAAAATATGAATCTATCACAAAATAACAAGTTTGTAAACAAAAAGTACCTCAAGATGAAGTGGAAGCTGAGAGATTGAGAGAGAGGATTAGGGTTAGGGTTTTTTCTTATTTTCTCTTGTTTGAGTCAACTGAGGATCGAATCGAACGGGAGATTTGAGAAATAGGGATGGGTTTTTTAATCGAACGGTTCGGGTTGGATTTTAACAACCAATCCCGCAACCCGAATGAAGCCTTCGGCGAATCCGAGCCATGTCCTAGCTCCTTTGACCGTGTCCGAGCCTAATTTGACCGTTGAGCCGTGTCGGACACGGATTGACCGTGTCCGACACGTGTCGTGCACGTGTCGTGACGAATCTGTGTCCGATTCAAGTCGGACACGGATTCGTGGCCTCTAGGGGCGAATCCGTGCTTCAGAGTATATAACACCAACATAAAGGGAAAAGGAGAGAATCTCAAAGAAAATATACCATTATGAAGCGAAAATGAGAGCATCAAATGACAAGTCTTTTGAAATTATCCATTTGAATTTTACAACAGATCCAAAAATAAAAAGTAGCGGCATCTCAAAATTAGTTCACTTAATGTATGAGACGACTGGAAGCATTTAGCTAGTAATGTTAAAAAAACTCATTATTTAACTCGTTATGTTGCGTTATGTTATCTAATACGCGACAAATATTACGTAACCTCATGAAATAACACACGTCATAATTCTATGTTATTACGATATAATATGTGTTATGTCAATAAAACTTATGCTATTTCAATATAACATGCATTGTTTCTGTAACATTGCAAATTTTTCCTTCCGATAATCGGATACCGTTACCGATACCGATCCATAAATCAGTAAATTCTTTCCTTCATTGTATCTCATATAATCTTCTAGTATGAGGATTTAAACTTAGCCAATTCTCATATTATGATCTAGTTAACTAAGTCATAGCATGCATACAAACTTAGCATGTAAACCTAAGCCAATCATACTTTAAACTTTGATTAGAGATAGCCCAATTGTTAAATACCTAATTTGAAACCCTCTAATTAACATAATTGTTTAATTTGGTCAGCCATGTTAGTGGAAGAATTTTACAATTTAAACCCTCAAAAAGCTCATAATTGCAAGAGATTTGTGCATGGGAAAATAAAAAAAAACTAGTCAAACACTCAACCCTTCCTATTTCTTACTCTTCCAAGAGAATCCCATCATTTCACTCTCTCACTCTAAATCTAGCCAGCTCCCTAGACAGCAGCAACTCTCCTCTATTCCCTCATTCTCATTAACTTTTTCACCCTAGACCCCTTGCTTACCTTGTAGAAGAAGGGGGAGCTCAAAGATAGTCAAGAAAGGGTCCATTGAAGCTTGGTAAGGTATAAACCCTAAAAAAAATTCTTTCATTCCATCAATTTGAACTGAGTTAAATCAATAATTATAGTTATATTACACATGAGGTCATGCATGTAACATTTTAAGGCTTGTATGACAATTTTATCTTTGAAACAGAATTTCGTATAGAAATTTCTAGCAAGATATCCTACCAGTAAAAATAACATAACTTTCTTTGTATATATCCAAATGCAGATATTCTTTCTATTTTAGAAACTACACTTACGTAGCTTTCATTTGAGACCTCTTTTGTTTAATTCTAAAATCAATTACTAGTTCGAAACTATGGTTAAACTCAATGCATGTGTCTGGAATAATTTACCTGAGTTGTCCATTATAAAGAGCATAAATCTCAATATATATCATGCATGCATAAAAATTTTTTGTTCATAGAACTAGACTCAATCATCTTTCTGTTGGCTCAAGTTTAAACTAATTTGGATAACATTTGATAAGTCTAAGCCTAGTTTAATACACAGCATATGCACTGACAATTCCAGTCTGCCCCCTTGTGTTATTTTACATGTAACATGCATATAAAAATAAAAGTTTGATGAAACTCATGGGACTTGGAAGCTAATCCATCATATTACTTTTATACCAAATATGAGCTCATTTGTACAGTGTTAACTGCCCGAAATGAATAATTTATTCCAGATAGCAATCTCTATTTTTCTGCTGCAATTTTGATAGGTGTAGTTTGCTGAGAGCATAACTCTTACTATACACCATGCATTGATGTAAATGTTTTATATTCTGAAAGTACTCATTAGTCATTTGAAACCAGTTTCATGCATTTTGGAGATCAATTGCTCTACCATCCATTCACCCCAAACTGCTGCATGCACACTACTTGTGCTGCTGTGCATATTAGAAATATTGGATGTAATCATCTAGAGTGTAGCTTATACCATGATATAAGTTTTAAGTTAGAAAAAATTATAAAAGACATGACGTTTAGAATCTCATGTGCGTAGGGCTGGGCATATTCGGTTCGGATCGGTTTTAAGCTCAATCCGCATCCAATCCGAATTTTTCGAATTCTCAAAACTCTCATCCAGATCCAGATTTTTTTCCCTTCATCCGAATATTCGGCCCAACCGAAATTCGGATCGGTTCGGATCGGTTTCGGTTTTGGACCGAATTAATACTATTTCACAAAAATCTGCCCACACCTGAGATCATTGCCTATTAATTTCTGATAAAGTATCATTATTTGTCCATTTTGTCTACTTAACTTTTTCCCCAAACAATAAAATGTGGAGCTTATTTGAAGTAACACCATTGCCACAGCTAACAAAAAACCGAAATTAGTGAAATGAGCGCAAACCATATCAACAAGTACATATGGTTACGTAACATTCAAATATTAATTAACTATAATCAAAAGGTTATCTTTCATTTATTGGAAAACAACTTAACATGCCTCTAGTAGAATTTGAAAGCTTATATGAGGTTTCACCGATTTTAATGCGGGCATATACGCTACCAGGCCCAATGAAAAAGGAACTATACAATATAAACATGTATGTAAACATAACAATCAAATTACCGAGCAATTATATAGCTTAATGTTCAAGTGATGACTCACTAATAAGAAAGCTATTCCATCCGACTTCGTCCGAACCAAAAGTCCTTTCCATTTTGACCGAATTCCGAACGACGAAGTCCTTCCCATTTTGAGCAATATGAATATCCGACAAAGAACGAATTAGAAAATTCGGTTTGGTTTTTTTTCGGGCGGTTCAGGGGTTCAAACCGGATCCAAACCGGTTTAATTCGGTTCGGGCGGTTTAGAGTCTTCTTCTCATCCATTTAATCCGGTTCGGTTAACCGGCCCACTTTTTCGGGCGATTTTTTCAGTTGAACCGGTTTTTTTCGGTTTTTGCCCACCCCTACATGTGGGTATACATGTATGTGTATATAGGACAAAGAATCTTGGATTCATTCATTGGCCGAGAGGATCCCGACATAATCGGTAGGTAACATTTCATTGTCTCCTCCTGAATCTTTGAGAGTTCGATTGATTACTTCTTAAAATTCCTACTAGTTTTCTATACAAAGTTGTATATCTCATCACTTTCGTAATATTCGTATTTGATTCACTTCATGTGTGGGCTCTTTGTTGATTGTTTAACCATTGCTATCCTAATATTGTTTATTTCAGTTTTAAACATTTGCTATCCTTGAATGATTATATTGCAGCAATTCGACTTGCTTCGATGATTCGACTATTGATAGTGATAGTATTCTTTTCTTTGTTGATGATTGATAGTCTATATTCATGAATTATGCCATGTGTGAAGTAAGCTTCACCGATGGGTGGTAATAGTAATGGGTCCCAGTGAGGACAATGCCCTGTGTGAGGACGCTCACCGATGGGTGTATAAAGGCATGTGCGGTTTATTGATTATCCCATGATTGGGGAGTTCAGAATCCTGAATATTAGACCTTGATTATTCATATTAACATGTTATTTCGTTTCGATCAATGATCATGATATAAGTATGGTAACTTAATGTTAAAATCCCTTCGTTCAAGTTCAATTATCTGTGACTATCATTTTCATTCATCCCCTATGTTGTACCCGAGATTTTTATGGTTACCAATTGGGCCTTAGACTCACCCCTATTGTTTCTATATCCATTCGCAGGTCATACAATCAGCAAGAATAAGGGGATTACGGACCCTAAAAATTAAAGATTGGCTCTGAAAGGAAAATCTTAGTAGGGTTTAATTTATATTCACTTTTGTAGTACTCTTGACTTATCAAACATGTACTAATGTTTGTAGCTATTATCATTATTGTAATATTTTGTTGTTCCCTTTAGTTTTCTTCTATTCTGGTATTATATAGACTCTGATGTCAACCTTGTGATTCTGAGTATTGCATATACATCTCCACTTCTTTATTTTTGGCCATTCAGCATATATATAATATATATATATATATAATATATAATATATATTATTATATATAAGAAGAGAGCGACGAGACGAGAGGAATGAAGAACCTTGATACCAAGTTAGTTTAAAGCAACTTGAGAGTGATGTGGAGACCTAATTCTGCCCAGTTACATCACACCTCAAAGATTAGAAACCTCAACCCCTCATCACCAACCCTAATGTAGATATAGGGACAAGATTTAGACCACATCACTATCAAGTTTCTTGGAACAACTTAGGTACCAAGTTTCTCCATTTCACACACACACACACACACACACTTATAACATATATATATATATATATATTATATATATATATATATATATATATATATATATATATTATATTGCTGATGTACATTAAAGAGTTAAGCCAGCGCTTGCGCCTTTCTTATTACAGACAAGTCATGCCCAAATTTTTATGTACCTCAATAAAGGGCGTTACAGTTTCAATATAACTTACATAATTTCAATATAAGTTCTAGAGACCTGAGAGTATATCCTTTTTTTAAAACTTGAAGCAGTTAAGTACATACTTTTGAATTGTTTGTTAAGCTTTCATGTCTTGCTTTGGTGACATCATTGGGTGATTGTGAAATTATGAATATGTGTAGTAAAATGAATGTAATTATGGACAAGTTATAAATTTATGAATATATATTTGAGTATTCAATTGCGATACTTCCTAGACTATATAGATTGTATTAAATTAAAGTATTTTTATCAAAAAAAATTTACGTTACATTATTTTTAATACTTAAAATTATTATGAACAACTTTTATATTTGTTTAAATTAAACAGTAAAATGTTTCGTTCCTAATTGTGGTGTTATGTTTGAAATTTTTGATGATTCTAATTATTAAAGTCATTATGAATAGTTAGTATTTATAAAATATGTAAATAATTAATAAACAAAATAACCTACATTAGTTTTTTTATGTTTTTTTCTTTAACCCTTAACTGGAGGTAGAGTGATACGTTTTGCGGTATCATTATTTTGAATCTACTACTTCGTTAAACAGTTCATTTTCTCATCATGAACTTTGCCTCCTTCCCTCTCTTGATGATATAGTTCTTTTTGGATTATTAACTAACTTAACAGAGGATAATTATAAATGTATAGGAAAAAAATGCATAGGAACAAAATATAGGATGCTGACTGTAATAATCTTAAGTTTTATTTGGCAATATATATAAAGAAAAGTAAATGGACTTTTATGCAAAAATTGTTAGAGGGTTATATTAGCAAAAGAGGACTCTTATTAATAGCCCAAAACCCTACCCAACTCCTCCTTAATTCTGTCAGCCTCTTCTCCGTCTTCCCGTCTCTGTTCCGCCACACAACCAAAAAAAAATCTCTTCTCGTCTCTGATTCGCGCACAAATAAAAAATCTCCTTTCCTCTGGTTGATTGTCGTCTCTCCTTCTTTCCCTTATCATGAATGTGGGTTTGAACTCAGCCACGTCTCCAACCTGAGAGTCGTGTTCACTCCTCCGCAGGAAAAAAAAAAGAGGCTTCCTTATCAGTTGAGTTGGGATCAAGAAGACTTCTAGGTATTTTATATTCCCCACTTAGAAACTTATGGCTACATCTTAATATTTTGAGGCTATGGCCATGATGGAACCAAACCTTGGTTCTGTTGCCACTTGTGTTGGTCTCCACGCCTTCTGTCTTCTTTTCTATACAAGGCCATTTAATTCTAGCTTGTGATCTTGAGTTACTTTATATAAAAAAATTGTTATGTATACAATGCTTAACTGTAGTTATAGGGTACAGTAGGGTATGTAGGTTGATTTTAGTATAGTTAATTAAATGGTGTATGATAATATCCTAAGATTATTTTATTAGGTATTCGGGTCTTAAGTTATACAGTAATGTTGATGGTTATTTGTATATATTATGTAGGAATCCCAAGTGATTTAGAGGAGGCATCGTGACTAGTATTCCGATAGTCTTTCGGATTTATGTAAGTGGTGAATTTGTACATTATTCACTGCGTATTTTTCATATAAAATTACCTTGTCTATATGTAAGTTTGTTATGATGGATTATACCCTTTTGTATGGTTGCTCGCATACACTGTTGATTGGATAAATGCACGTGGTTAGTTGGTAGAAGTCTATGCTTATTTTCTTTGTTAATTGTTGTCTTTTCATATAATAGTAGATTGAGATGCATATGTGGTTGATTGATTTCACTATTGGTTAGCATTTGGCATTTTTGTATAACGTATTTAGTTTTACGAGCTTTGTTTAATTTTCTTAAAACATATGCATCTCAGGTCAATATATTGGTATATGTCAGATATAAGTAAGCTATCAAAACAGGGCTCAATGTGCCTCTATGAGGTTTTATTTTAGCGCTAAGAGCCCAAATTTGGGTCTCACCGTCCCGGAACCACGGGCTTAATAATTGTGAGGTTTACTGAGTCAACCGGAGTATGAAGTGTTGACCGCATTAAGGCGTAGCCTGCTTATTTCCATTTCATGTTTTTTTAGTTTTCTTAAATATTTGCATCATGTACTAGAATTCATTGATGATTCTCAATCATTCTTATATTTTGCTTATCATTTGTCGAAATATTTGAATTTTTGTAAAACAAGTGTTCAATGTATAAATTTATCCACTTATTGAGTTGTGAACTCATTGTGTTGTTTTCCTTCTTTTCAGAGACTCAGGATGAGATGGAATTGACGATTGTTTTCAAATTCTTAGAACGGGACAAGAAATATAATTCGAGATTGTTATTTTCTTGGTGAAGGTTAAATAAAGTCTTTAATATTTAGTTGATGAATTGAGAGTTTGTAGTAATGAGATTCTTTCCTTTAGGTTGAGTTTTATTTCAAGTTGAGGAATATTTATTTTTATCAAGTAAATTGGACTAGTGTTGACTTTTGGGATTATAGAGAATACTTATTGTTGGTTTTAATTCAATGATGCGATTATTTTGATGGTCTTTTAATGAATATATATTTTTGGAGGATTTTTCACATGTTTAGTCCGGCTCCAATATTCCTTTTAAGGTTCGACAATTGGGGTCGTGACAATGACAAAAAGGAAAATGCACAAGATGAAGAGGGAAGCAGTGCATTAAAAGAAAAATGGAAAAAAGTTCACTTAATTAGCATATAGATGGTCTCATATGAATAAATACAAGGGAGAAAGGGAGACAAATCTGCGTCCCATAACCAGTGCACTATTTAACAAATTGGCCAAAACGGGATTCATATGAAAGCATTGGTGACTAAACAAGATTAAAACATGCTCAGTTAGGTCTCTGTTCATGGTGGTATCCTAGGATTATAGCAAGTGGTTAGAAAACAGGAAGGTCACTGAAACATGGAGAAAATATAATAAGCTGATCTTCACTATCATCACGCTAATTCATACATGTACAAAATCTGGCTTCCAAAAAGTCTATGTTAGTTACGTTTGGCTCATGTCAACCAGATACGCATCTAAAATCTTCTAAAATTCAGTCTAGCCAAGTAAAAGTTACGTATTCATGTTTAAGGAGTTACCTGGTTGCATAAATCAAGATGTGTGTCAATATATAATCGAATAGGAAAGGGAGGGAGGGAGGGAGGGAGAGCAAACCTTGCGGTAATCGAGAATTCCTTCAAAAGGAAGCTCCAATTCATCACTGACTATAACTGGGATACACCCACTTACAATTGCATCAAAAAGCCTGGCAGAAGATGGCGTATCCCCAGCTGGACTCAAGCAAAATATAGATCTGAATGCACGCAAAACAAGCTAACTCTGTAAGATGCTCAAGTACTTTCCAGCTTGAAGAAAATTTGAAAAGAAAAAGGCTATTACTTGCGCATGCCAGTCTGGGCTGCTTCTTTGCCAGACATTCCAGCACTTCCCTCTTCTATAACAACCCCTTCAGCATCATGTAGCACTGCCCCAAGTTTACTACGGATCTTTCCTCCCTGACAGTATGATGCTGTAAGATTAGTACAAATGCATCCAGAATACCATACATGTGAGAATTTCATGTGGGCAAGCATTTTTATTTTTTATTTTTTATTTTGGTGTGTGCAGGATTATGCACATGCAAGCTTGCATGGGTTTAAGAGCATTCTTTTGCTTACAGCATTCCGTTTAAGCCTTCCACGGAAAAAGAGCAATGTGTTTCTTTTCGGCTGTGTTTCTAACATACATTGGGCATCACATAGTTCAACATTTGGAACATATGGAAGGATGAGATCCTTTTCCAGCCAGACTTGTCCAGGCTTATACCTAAAGAATTTTTCAAACCCAATAGACAGTAAGATTAGCATCCCCATTTAATGAGACAAATTTTGATAAGGGTAAGATAACAGATCCTGACCAGTTCCCAGTAGAGTCCATGTCAGGAAGAAGCCAAATAGCTTTTTTCATAAACTTGCGAACTGACTTGAAAGACCAAGGATGGTGAACAGGAAGAATATGATCCCTTCCTCCTGAACGCTGCCATGCAGGCTGATCAGTGACCCACTTCTGTGCCTCCTGTTTCCACAAGCAATCACATATAGGATATGTAAGTGACAACGTACGAGGCCAAAAAGCCTGCTGTCTCAGATAGAAATCATTCTGAAGGTTGTGTCTCACAAAATAAAAGACAGTAGTATGATACTGGCTTATGTTTATATCCCTTTAAAATAAATGATGATTTGCCCGTGTAATACAAATTAGCTATATTAGCAAAAACAAGTGATATTAGCAAAAAATATGCATTGTCGACACTAGGTAATGTGATGAACCTATGTAAGAAATTCCAATAAACTCGTTAGGTAACAAGCACAAACAAGGGAATGAGCTACAGTCAACAAAGAATTTCACCATAAAAAAAGGTGTGCATGAGTGGTTGCACGTTTGAACATGCACACACACGTGTGCGTCCGTGTGTGTGGGCATGCCTCTGTGTGTGTGTGTGTGGCCACGACGAGAATTTACCAACCAAAAACAAGTGTCAAGCAAATTGTTCAGTCCTACCATTTTAAGTAGGTTACGTAATATTACACAGTAGGTGCTCCCACATTGAAGAAATTATCATGATATATGTCTCAGCTGAATAAGTGCAGATTTAACAATATTTTTTTCCCACAGGATCTAACCTCACTGTGCTGAAACTCATCATTCTATTATGTACTCAACTTGTCAACATTCATCACTATCAGCTAACCATTCAATGAATGTGAAAGTTCAGGCAAAGAACTACATCCAGGTGCCAATCTCATGCCAGTTATGCAATTGGTCCCCGATGATACAGGGCACTGATACAGTAATTAGCAGAGAAACCTACTTAATTAAGTTCTTGACTTCTTTCAATGAAGAGGCATCTCAAGAAATCTAATTGAAGGAGAAGATCATATGATTTAGTGTAAAGAAGATCAATGTTTATCTAAAACAAGAAGCTATAATTAGAATTTTTATGTTTCTAAAATATTAAAGGAATTTGATAAAATAACAATCGCTAGTATACTGGTTGAGTTCTTTGAAACAGGAAAAGGCAGGATTAAAGCATTACAATAGATAGTTAATTAGAAAATGCAACATCAAGATAAAAGGTTGACACATAAACAACAAAGACATGGCATTTTCCATGAAACAGAACCATTAATCTCTTTGGAACTGAAAAAACTATCTAGTTTAGTAGTTCATTAATGCATTGGAAAAACAACCTGCAGAATGCAATTCTACACAGTCAAGCACAAAATACAAGCAAGAGAATAATTTTACAGTGAGGTAGTAATATTTAAATAAAAAAGAAACTATCGGTCCCAGCTTTTGACATGTCGCATTTTAATGAAGCACATGGTCAGGACAAATAATAGCTTAAATTTAAACCTTGGGGCATACGCGCACACCCTATAAAGTTGCTTGCACTGTTGTTTCTCCAATAAGAAGAAGCTAATGGTTGTGAAAAATGGAATGTAAAACAAGTCTGCCTCTTCTTGCCTATGAACCCTGACAACATTCTTCAACAGCCTCTCTGATTCCGGAGCAGTCAAATCAGACCACAGCCAATAATCAACTGAATGCTGCAAAAAAATAGAGACAAAGAATTAATTACACATGAAGAAAAAATACAAACATGGGCTAAATGGTATTTTACTTAATTTGGATTTCAGGCAAAAGAAAAATGGATCACCAACTTAACTCAAGGATAAACCTTAATAAAGATGAATTACTAAATAAGATTCATGCAGAGAGCCCAAAATTTTTGAAATAAAGGCTCTGCTTTGATGTTGATATGAAGAGAAATAAAGAACTGATAGCTAAAGTCTTCAGAGAAACACTGTGGAGTAATTACATAAACTAACACAAGAAATGAACTATATCTTGGATAAGTTCGTATACTCAAAACTAAATTTAAACATCACGAGCAATAGAAATATTCTTGGTCAAAATTAATGAAACATATAACAATTTCCAAGACCAAGAGAATTGTGGTTTGAAAGAAACTCTTTTAAGATAGGAATGCAAAACTTGATATGCCAATGTTCAAAGAATGTGACACATGAGGATGATTGAATTGTTGATGTCAGCTACATAACTAAAATGTTCAAGCCAACCACAAGGGAGAGGCATCTAATTAACAGAAAAATATTAAGAATCATCTGTAGTCTCCACCTTCTATTTCTTTCAGTTTTCAACATGAGGCTTAGAATTCGTTGGTGCCATGTGCCGCTCATGAGATATTTTTTGCATGAAAATAACCATATATATACTTATCACCTAAATGGTGATTTCACCATTGTCTCACACTTAGTTTTGACTCTACTGACTTGTAATCGTTAGTCTTTCATTTTCTTTTATATTCTTAATTTTGTCCATCACAACTATATCATCTAGTGTGGCCATCATTCCTTTTCATGCATTTCCTTGCATCAGTAGCATCATGTCTCCATTTCTATGATATATGAATAATGCCAATAATGCCAACGGACTAACTCTAGGTTCATGCAAATCATTTCACTCATTGCAGCATTAGGAACTGTAATATGTTCTATTTTCGGTTATTTTTCAAAGCTGAATGTAACTCCCTAGCAATTCTTACCATCTGGCTTTTTGCCTATTTATTTATGGGGCAATTGAAAGGTTGGTCATTAGTTGCATGATTGCTAATTACCTGCCAATTCAATATCAAAGTTTAGCATAGTCCTTAGTTTTTGATATTATCCTTGCAAGAATTCACAGCACATGTAAAGAAAATGCACAAGCACATTGCACAAGCACACTGCATCCATATGCACATAGGCCCACAAATATGACAGGGTATGTAATTATGCAGCAGACAGTCTTGGTATGAAGACGACGGATGTTATAGTCTGCATTCAATCACCTTAAGTAGGTTGGTCATTAATTGCATGATTGCTAATAACCAGCCAACTCAATATCAAAGTTTAGCAGTCCTTAGTTTCTGATTTTATCCTTGCAGGAATTCACATCACATGTAAAGAGAACGCACTAACACACTGCATCCATACTCACATAGACCCACAAATATGACAGGGTATGTAATTATGCAGCAGACTTTCTTGGTCCCTAAAAATTTCATGTGTAGTAGTTTTAGTTTAGGTTATATACTTTAACTTTCTCTCAATTTTTTTAATTTTATTAGGAAACGTTTGTCTAAAGAGTATTTTCAAGGTTTATTAGGTTTTCTGACTGGAACTTATATAAACTGTATGCTTATTGATTGTTCACTATCAGCCTTGTTTTTGACCATTACTATTTTCTTTAGCCAATGCTTGATAGTTGATACTGGTGACGCATGATCGTTAAATTGTTGTTTCAATAATTTGTAATTTATTACATAAGGTGGAGTCTCAATTTTGTATTGTAACATGTTTGCTTAGTCCATGTAGGATCAAAAGCAGTTCAATTATCACATAGAATATCACAGGTATCGGTGGTCTTCCTTCCACCTCAGTCGCTCAAGTTTTTCAAGCTTATTGCCCATTTGGTGTATGGATAGCAAAAGAGAAATTAGGTATAAGTTATTATTATTATTATCCATTATGTTCAAGCTTATTATCTACTCTTTGTAATTACCTGCAAAGGAATATCTTGTGGACTGAAAAGAAATGGGTTAGTGCAGAAAGAAGGTCTCACGTACTTAAACAAGAATTTCTTTAAAATTCCACATTCGGAGCCCTTAATTCATTATGGGTTGCAGGTTTGATTCCAAGTAAGGAAGGTTTCAATCCAAGCAATATACCAAGGGAGAAAGCCGTACATCCTATGCATCCTCGAGCAGACAAACAAAGAAGAGCCAGTCCAAGTGATTCAACTTAAAAAGAGTTTTAAACAAGTATAGACTGTTTTAAGTCTTTTAAATTTTCCCTCTACCCAATATGAAGAGCATTTTGTGCAGCTCTATCACATCAGGCCAACCAAAAAGATAATGATTTTTACATGTTCCATAAACACATTTCCAAATTCAATTTCGTTTTTTGGGCATGTTTTATACTATTGGATAGCAAGTTTATAAGACAAATGGGTATCCTACTAATGCAATCAATTTTCGCTACATAAACAAAAGAGAAGTAACAGAGATCAATCCAAACACCAAACTAACCACGATGAGTCTCCGCAAAGGTCATAATAAATCTATGCAATGCTTCTAATAGCACAACAAACCCCAAAGTCTTGCTACTCCTAAAAAAGTCCACCTTTGTCCCTCAGATTACAACTTTTACTACCAAAAGTCTTACCACGTGAGATCCAGTGTCTCCTTATAAGAGTTACCAAGGAGCTGCAACATCTTCAAATTCCATTTCACTTCCAATTTTTTTGGATGCTTTATACCACTTATGCAATCAAAACTTGTCGGTTCGTTACTTGTTTGTTCAAGACTTTCAAGTATATAAGATAAATAGGTATACCACTAATGCAATCGAACTTCAGGTAGACAAACAAAAGAAAATAGCCAGAGATCCATCCTCACACCACAATAACCACTACGAATTGTAGGCGTTAAAAATTGCCCATAGGTCCTCAAACACAGTGCAAGACAAGGAAAAGACGATAAACGTTATTATCCAAGTCAAAGGAATTCATCCAAAATCAGCAAGGCGACGAAACGTACGCAAAACAAAGAAGCTGGAAGAATCACGAAACATTGCTTAGAAGCTTGAACAGTGCCGAGTCACCAAATGCTGACTCGCACGGTTCCGAGTCACCAGAAGCTGACTCGCACAGTTCCGAGTCACCAGAAGCTGACTCGCACATTTCCGAGTCACCAGGACTCTTGTTGGATACAAAACCTCCCCAAACACGGATTTCAATGATTTTTAAGGATTCTTTCGTCCCAAAACCTCTCCAACTGCTCTGAGGTTATCCATAAACACGTTTAGACAGTTATAAACCGCAGATAACGTTTAAACATCAATTCCTACTAGGAGACACATCTCAAAAAGCCTATAAATAGAAGCCTAAGGTCTTCTTTCAGGGGGATCGGAGATTTGAGATTAAGAAGGCGAGGTGCTGTCAAATTGACCAGTCAACCACGAATTTCAGAGGAGAATCATCAGAGCTTGGCGAACACTTTCATAAAGAAAGCCCCTTCGAAAGGTTTGTGATTCTTTTCCCTTCTTTCCTCCGGATTAAACTTGGTTTTAATCTCGAGAAGAGCCACAATCTCGCTTGGTCGTGATTGTCGCTTCCGTAATTGTTTTCCTCGTGAAACAAGAGCGTAATTATATTGTCGATCGGCTTTGGTCTGCGGTGGTCCACGGACTAACGCGTCCCCGGCACAGGCAAAGATCCCACGCAAAGCAGCGGGAGATAAACTACTGCTGCGTTTTGTTTGATAAAGTTGTAATCTTTATTTTTCGTTGTAAGAAGATCTTATAAAAAGATCAACTCTCTTTTCAGTTTGAACTTGTAATCGATAAACGGTGTAACAGGTTTGAAAACAATGGAAAAGGCAACTTTTGACACAAACACGAATCTCGATACAAATCTCAACTACTTCCGTCCAACATCAATCTACACACGCTCCTAAACGACGCAGCAGATTCAAGTTACAGTCTAACTTAGCTCAGATCTCAAATTTCAGTACCCAAAACACACAATAATAATAATAATAATAATAATAATAATAATAATAATAATAATAAATTTACCTGTTCGATAAGTCGGTGAACGGGGGAGCCATTAGAAGTGAGATTCACAGTCTCCTTGTAAGTGTTCCTGAACAACCAAAGCAGATCGTAGGTAAACTTAGCCGGCATCTCGTAAACGTAAACCCTAACAACCGACAAACCAAATCGATCCCCACTCTCCTCCTCCCTCCTCGAGATCAATCGATCGAGCGCCTCGGCCGACTCCGGGGCGTCGGAGGAGGCAGAGGACGGGTGGGATTGGGATCTGGAGGTGAGGAATCGCTCGAGGGAGGCGACGAAGGAGTACTCGGGAGGGGACGCGGATCTAGGGTTAGGGTTAGGGTTAGTGGTTAGGGTTAGGGTTTGGGTTGGGACATGGCCGGTGGAGGGAGAGGAGGAGGAGAAGAGGAGGAGGAGGGAGAGGAGGGAGAGGAGGGCGATGACGGCGATGAGGATGAGGGAGGATGAAGGTGGAGATCTGGATGTTGATGAGAAGGCGAAATGTTTTCCGGCCATCTCGCGCGGATACGGGGAGAGGCGTGGTTTCTGGGTGGGGATAGAGTCCCTGGGTAAAAATGCTACCCAGTTGTCTACGCTCCGGATCTGAGATGCATCTAGGATTGCATACTTCCTGCGGTTGCTTTTGTGATATTTAGCCCCTCAAGTCATTGAAATTGCCTTTACGGCCCAAAAAAAAAAATCTCGCAAGTTGTTTCAACCCCTAGATCTGCTATAGTTTGATTCTGTGGGGATGCTCATTTTAAGCAAACTCGTCCATAGTTGCTATACGCTCCGGGGCTGTTTGTCTGCATGCAAGTGAAAGATGAAAAGTGAAAAAGTGACTTTCTTTTTACGTTGTATGTGTTTATTCATGTGCAATTTGATTATGAAATTAAAATGCAAGAAAGTTGTCGCATATGCGTATCCAAATGTTTTCCTACTTTTCAATCGTAAAGTGTCCAACCTGTGGGAGGATTCATTGGATTACAACCTGTGCCCATTCTTTTTATCAAATCAAACTTGAACACAGTGACAGCGAAGAAGACATTAATTGCTCTCTTAGTTATTCTTTCAGCATGTCTGAACTCTTTGTACATTACGGTAAATGTACAGAAGTAGGACATACCAGACACTCTGCTATTGCAGGGAAAATCATGTGATCAACATTCAGGTCGTTTTGTTCGGCAATATTCAGTGAAGTTATGTGTAGAAAGAATCCAGCTAGCAGTCTACGATCTGGACTTACTAACTCCCATACGTGATACAACCAAGAGCATGCACCGTCCTTTAAACTGTGAAACCTGTTCTATCTCTGATTATAACGGCTCTGTGCTAGAATGGCAATCCTCGTGCACTGTTAAGATTCCTTGTAATATTGAATGGGTGAATGGTTCTTTCTCATCATTCTATTGGAGAGAGAGAGAGAGTATATTGGACACGTGGTGTTCTAAGAGATAAGAATAATTGGATTAGTGCAAAACGAGGAGGGTTTGAGGATTAGTATGCTGATCCAAGGGTCCTCTGTTTGGATCACTACATAAACAATGTAGCAGGCCCAATGGAAAGTTTTAGCATCCCATTAGACGACAAACACTGCATCATTTGCCCTCAGCCTATGTCCATACTCGCACAATCTCCTTCCAATATCGTCGAGCAAATCATATATATCTCCACATCGCGGGTGTCCCTTATCTCCCATCACAAACTCATGCACAACACCATCCATCTCAATTGAACTAAGACCCGGCGTCTTATCAATACCCTTCGCCTTCATGACCTTTCTCACCCTCCCAACATCATCCCATCGACAAATATCTGCATACAAGTTGGATTGCAACACATAATTCCCTCCATAACCTGGGTCCAATTGCATTACTCGAGCAATTAAACGTTCTCCGAATTTGATATCTCCATGAACTCTACAGGCTCCCAATAAAGATCGATACACTGCTGCAGTAGGTTTAATGGACATTTTCCTAACCACATTCTCAGCCTCCTTGAGCTTGCCAGCTCGGCCCAAGAGGTCAATCAAGCATCCATAATGCTCCTCCTTCGGCTCAATCCCAAAATCCTTTTGCATCCTATTGAACAGATGTCTACCCTCATCGACCAACCCAGAGTGAGCACACGCGCTCATTAGTACAAGCACTGTCACCTCGTCCACTCTCACTCCTTCGGTTATCATCCTCTCAAAGAGTACGATTGCACGGTGTCCAAATCCATGGATAGCAAAACCTCGTATCATCGCATTATAACATGTCACATCTCTTTTTGACAGTTCACCAAACACTTGCTCCGCAAAATCCAGTCGGCCACATTTCGAGTACATCTCTACAAGAGAAGTACCGACAAAGCGATTGATCGATAGACAATCGCCCCTAAGTATGTAAGAATGGGCCCAAAAACCCTGCGCTAGCGCACCTAGATCACCGCAAGCGCTTACAACAGCCACAAGTGTAATCTCATTGGGATTTACACGAGAATCCTCCAGCATCCTTCTAAACAGTAAGAGGGTTTCTACATATGAACAGTGAGAGAGCGCAGACAAGACAGAGTTCCAGGCGGCCAAGTCCGGTAGATGGATTTCATCGAACATTTGGCGGGCGACTCGGATTTTCCCGCGCTTGCAGTAGAAGTTGAGCAGTGAGGCGAGGACGAAAGGGTCGCGGTGGAAGCCGAGGACGATGACGTGGGCATGAAGGGCGAGGCCGTGTGGGGCCCAGGAGGGGGCCCCACAGGCTTTGAGGAGGGAAGGGTAGGTGTGGGGGTTGGGGGAGAGCGGGG